TTTCTGTACATATAGCACGCGCTACGACAAATGTTTTAGTCTTTCCACTTCTCTTCATTCTTTTACAATATCGACTGTAATTGATTGTAAATTATGTTAAGCTTATCCGTTTCGTCGTTTGGAAACGACCATATCGAACACAATTTAATGTTTTTTATACAAACAATCGTTAAGAATTGTGTGTACATATATATATATATATTTGTTTAATCAAGACCAAAGGTCGTCAGTAGAACATACGAAAGCTCGCAATCTCCCGGTAGTGGAAGTTTGGCATTCGAACGATTTCAGAGAAAAGAGAAACATGCAAGTTGACCTTGCCATATCGAGAGTATAGTCACGACTCGGGAATCGCTTATCAGGCTAACTGTTTCTCGATCTCGCTAGCATACCAATCGATTCGAAGCCCATTAAGGCCATCAATGAGTTTTCTGGTTATTAAACAGGTTACTCGGTTATCAGAGCGCGTTAAAAGTCTTCCTTGTTGAATTTACATCGTGTGTCGTGTTAATTAATTGAAACGCTGGCACTATCAATCGATTAACTGACAAAGCAATACATGCTACTTTCTAGAAAATTGAATTATTTATTAAAAAGACTTTATTAGAATCTGAAGTATAAAATTACATTTATACCACAAATTTTTAAGTCAATAACGTAGATTGATTTTATCAGACTAACAATATAGCGCGATATAATTAATTAATATAATTAATATCACGATATAAAAAGATTTTCTGTCAACGCGCTGATCTCTTTTTCCTTTCAGAGACTCTTCACGGCGACGCTCCTCGTTGTCGCGATCCTCGCTAAAGAGGAAAGCTCGTCGTCGAAGAACCGCGACAAACGTCAACAGCTCGCCTTTCTACGAAAGGTGGGTCGCCTGCCGCCGTATGCGGTGCAAATGGAACCGATAGTGCAATATTCTCAGAGAGATCCTTTATATAATCCTTTGACGAGTTCGAAGAACGACGATTTATACGGAGAGACTCCATCGAGCTATTATCAGACGGAACCCGAGCCGATTATCGAGATCATCATCAAAGAATCTAACGAGACTCTTCCAACTCCGGCGCCGCTACCACTTTCTTCTCAACCGCGACCTACCAAGGAACCCATCCAAGTCTTCTATGTAAAATACGAGAAGAAAAAGGGGTATGGAGATAAGACCCGTGTTGTATACGATCCACCGATCCCCGCGCTGACACCTGTGGAGGAGCACGAGGAAATTAAGCCGGACAATCCGCCACCATATGGGGAAGAGCCGGCGAATACAGTAACACCGGCACCGTCTCCGGAACCATCGACGACCTTACGCGCTATTATTCGACCCGATAGCGAAGTGTATCATTCCGGTAGTAGCGGTATCCGCGTGACTTTTGGTACCGAGCAAGTGCCACCCAACAATCACAACAAGCGTAGCGACTTAGAGACGCCTGCAGGCAGTATTCAACAGTACATTAGCAAGCCAACAACGTCACCGGGAGCGCCGAAAAGACAGCACGGTCCTTATCAACCCTTGCAACCACCGCAACCCCCGCGAGTACCCGCATTTCCGCAACAGCGGATTATTAATTCATTCCCGCCGCAACCGCAAGCAACGACGTTCTTGCAACAACAGCAACAGCAGCAATCACTGCTGCAGCATCAAACGTTTCCACCTCAGCAATCCTTGAGAAATCCACCACCGCCACCACCACCATCATCGAGGCCACTGCAACGTCATCCCATAACCATTCAGGGTCTCCCGGAAGTGCAACAACGCGCGACATTCAACAGTTTTGGTCCGCCACCGCATCACGTCAACATCAATCATCCTCAGCAACCGGGATTCCCACCTGCGCTGTCGGTATCGCATCAAAGCGTTCAAGTACAAAATCGACCATTGTCGCTGCCACAAAATAACTTCGCGGAACCGCCCCAGCAACCATTACCGGTCAGATCTGGTGGCTTTAATTCGGAGCAGCAACCGTTATCTAGACAGAATGGTTTTAACGTAGAGCTTCCACCGCAATCTCCATTTAAACAACAGGAATTGGAGAAGCAACGTTATCACGAGCAACGACGACAGCAAGAGTTATTGAAGCAACGGGAACATCAACGACAGCATGAGCAGCAACGACATCAAGAACATCAACGATTTTTGGAGCAACAGAGACAGGTCGAGCAACAGAGATTGCTGGAGCAGCAGAGACAACAAGAACATCAGAGGCAGCAAGAGCATCAGAGACTTCAGGAACAACAACGATTGCAGGAACAGCAACGCTTGCAAGAACAACATCGGCAACAGCAGGAGCAGCAACAATTGCAAGAATTGCAGCGCTTGCAGGAGCAACGCAGGCGGAAACAGGAGCAGGAGCTGAAGTTCCTTCAGGAACAACAACGATATCGTACACAACTTAAGTATAATCAGGTTCAGCAATTGCAGCCGCAATTACAGCCACAATTGCAGCCACAATTGCAGCCACAATTACAGCCACAATTATCATCTCAACGACCAGGAGGTGAAATTTTCAAGGCCGTGCCTAAGCTAGAACAGCATTACGCGTTCCAAGAAAATCCTCTTCATCCCGGTCCGTTCCCACCAAATCCCACGATAATTCAACCAACGACGTTTCCCGAACTTTCCCAAAACCAGTTCGTATCGCCGCAATCGTTCAGTGCCCTTCACGACTCTCAGCAACTGTCTGGGAGTTTAAAAAATCATTTTATCTCCGGTGACGGTCTGCAGCAACAGTTAAACACGCAACAATTAAACCAGCACTTAAACACGAAGCAATCTCATCAGAGTAGTCAGCAAAGCTTCTTCTCGCAGACGCTTCCGACATCGCAACAACGGCCACAAACGACCGCAACGACCACTTTCACTCAGCAACAATCGATATGGGGCCGGCCATCGTTCCAGAATAATCCCTCGCAGAAGATCTACGCGACACCGGTTAGTCCCTCCGAACAGTTCAACTCACCGCCGACCGCTAGAACGTTCTTACCGACAACTACTAGTACGACTACAACCACAACTACCACCACGACTACCGAAGTGCCAACCACCTCGACGACACTCTCGCCGAATAAGGCGGCCAAGATCAAAGAGAACATTGCGAATCTACCGGACGAGGTGCCAGACGACATCAGGGAGCAGCTGTTGAGCTCCGGTATTTTAGGCAACGCCGATATCCAGATTCTCGACTATGACAAGATCGGCGATATTCCGATCGAGAAACTGCCGCCGGAAGCTCTGGCGAATTTCTACGGTGCCGGAGGCGGTGCGGCGATTGCCGCCGGCAGCGAGCCCGTGCCGACGGTCGTCAAGAGACCACCATTGAAGATAGCGCAGAAGAAGGTGACAAACCTGACTCCCGCTATCAATCGTGGTAGCAACTCGACCAAGTTCGAGCAAGCCACCTTGCGGCCCGGTGGCGTGGAGATGAAAGTAGTACGCTTCGATCCGAATACGGAGCAAGGCCGGGCCGTGGCGGAGCAGCATATACGGGACGACGCGACCCGGCTGCAGCCGGTGACCGTGGGAACGCGCGGGGATGTCTCACAGTACAATCGTTATCTGCCGCTTAAAGTGAGCGGCGCGTCCTTCCCGATACCGGATGTGCCGGAACTCAACGGCCGTAAGATCTCGAGCGTCGTGGTGCTGGCACCCGTCGACTACGACTTTCCCGGCGAGGAGAGGGAGATCACGGAATCTCAGCGGCGCAGCAGGAAGACCGGCGGCGATGCGCAGCCGGTCAGGTTTCTCGCCGGTGACACCCTCAAGCAACTCGTGAAGAAGCCCACCGCGGAGAACTACAAGAAGTGGCTGGAACAGGAGAGTCGCACCGAGCCGCAGAGACAGTCTGTCGTTCTTCTAGTGACTATGTAAGTATTCCATTAAACGTGATGTTTGTACGCGTAATAAAATTGTCGTGATTCATTTCCTCTTAACGCTCCAGGCACCTTTAGATATTTGTTGTTTCTTCAGTGCCGCTTTCTAAAAAAATCGACACGTTACATCACTATGTATCTTGCATTTGCGACGGAAGTCGATGTAGCGTAGATTTAAATATTATTTCCCGACTTTATCGTATTTTACTGATGAAATAAAAATTTCTCTACTTTCCCGTGAGCACAGACCTCCAAAGGATGTCCTAATGACATCCAGGGAACGCTCTACATCCTAAGGACGTCTGCTAAAGTATGCTGTGTGGATTTATCTTTTATTCTGTTAAACGAAATAACAATTTTAATCTATCTTTTATATTTACATATTTTATTTAACGTTATTATAAGCAATTACTAAATTCTTTAACACCTTCCAAATTTATTATTTCGCAGCAATGATTATTTAGAATTTTTTTTTTATTTTTACACTGATCAACTATTCCATTAACTTTTTATTCCCGACTGCTGCCAATTGAAAGTTGGCAAAAACGGAGGGAATGTGCGTTTCACCGAGGTCGAAGCTTTGTTACTTTAGTTCTCAATGACTTCATAGTTTAATACAACTTCCGCATATGAGCTTCTAACCAAGCTTGGTTTAAAGCATATATAATTATCATTAATTGTTATAAACAATGAGAAAATGATATTGTTAACTCGATCTTAGTACACGATTGGATCATTCGTGTCCTGCACACTTTTTTCTTCAATAAAATAGAAGGCATCAAGTAATTAATGATACAATTTTTTAAATACACAATTTTTTAAATACTTTCTAAAGATGTTGGTGATTTATGTATGAATCACTTAAAGTTAACAGAGGATAAGAATGATCTATCGTATGTAGTAAAGATTAATATTCTCTTGTTGCGTATTACAATCGACGGTTCGTCCGTCTCGTAAATCTGCTCGAAAGTCAAGGAATTCGCGAGGCTGCGCGCTTTCACTCGGATTCACTGCGGTGTTTTAGGCCGAGAGATGGTGACGGTCAAGGTGACAAGGAAATCTTCATGTACGACGTGACCTCTGGAGCCGTTAGCAAGCTAGCCGGTGATCTCTCGACGGCCTTTGTAGACGCCGCCGAGAGCAACTCTGACGGCACCGATTCTATCGACGACTCTACCTTCTCGACATTTTAATTAGTTCATAAGAAAAAAGTTTATAAAAAAATTTCTTGAAATATTAAAAAAATGTTTAATCCACGGCCGGACGCAGAATTTCTTTTTTGAGAGATTGTACAATATGGATATATTCAAGATTTTGTCTTTGTTGCGAGTAAAGAAAGTTCTTTGTACTTCTCGACTTTAATTAAATGATTTTTACTAAACGGAATGTAACTTTTTTGTCGTGATGAAGGAGAAAGAATTGATTTAGGTCTGTGTGTTGCTTACGCGATAATGAATGTCAATGGTTAAATGCTGATGAAAAACAATGTAAAAACGGCGATTTTTCGACATTGTGTGATGCGCTTTTTTATGTGATTTGGGCAAAAATGTAGGAAAGAGGATAAGGATTTCGGAGTGAGGCGAAGAATCGCAGCGTGGCAAATTACTTCGAGTATCCTTGTAGATATCTTAACTATGTATTATTATGTACATATAAGAATAATTTTGTACTTTTTTATACGAAATAAAACGCAGTCTTTTTATGTTCGCATGGTGCATTCCATATGTCCGGATGGAAGTTAAAAAAACATTATTTATGATATTTATATTTACATTTAATATACAAATTATATAATAATATTAAAATTTTCAGAAATATCATTTTTAAATAAAGAAAAATATTTTTTTCAGTTAAGAAGAGAATTTTAAAAAAAGTTTTTAATTATATTAAACAATTTTTTAATAAAGTTCGAAATATAAAAAAGATGAAAATTTAAGAAAGGGGTGAATTAAAAGATGTCAAAATAAATAAAAACAAAATTTAATATCAATAATAATGCTCAAATACTATCACGTATATTTCAAGACTACAGTCTTTTTCAGCTAAAAATTGTGAAACATTTAATAATATAGAAGAAAAAAAAACATCTTGAAATACTTGATAAAATAACAAGAAAATATTGCTGAAATATTTAACGATATTATATATACCATTATAAAAGAGACATTAAAATTGATAATCAAATTTTTCAGTTTCTTAAAAAAAAACGATGCATGTCGATTGATGTTTTATATTTCTACACGCCACGTGCGCAAGACGGCCCGAAGTTGTTCGAAAGTTTCCGGAAACTGCCGAATCAGAGAGCACCCAAACGCTAGTGTCGCTAGTTTCTACGAACAATGAAAATGATCGTCAATCAACGCTGACGATTGACGGTTAATATACAATCTTTCTCGTGTTATTTCTTTATTGTAGTTAGTTCGTAGTACGAAAATCATCAAACGGATTGTTTCTTTGATAAATCATAATAAAAGAAGGTAATTGATGTTATATAATTATACATGTTCGATCTGTTACGATTTTACTGCGATTAATCTAACCAAGTAAGTTAGGTTAGATTTGTTAATCGATGATTGTTGGAAATTTTAGGATTCAGTTTGAATAAATCCGAAAAGTATGTCAAATTGGCGATCGAGTCATGCGACGGAGCGACGAGATACGTATAAAAATAACAGAGAAAACAGGCGTGACAGGAGTAACGAGACTTACAGAGATAGATTGCAGAGAAGCAGGGACAGAGATCACAGAGGTGGTAGACGCGATTACTCTAGGAGAGATGATGAGAAGCAGAATGATAAGAGGAAGCACGAGAGATCACCGTTGAGAAGGGAGAATAGTCATCCCAGGCACAGAGAACGTAATGAGAGGAGCAGAAGTAGAGACAGAAGAGACGATTCCAGCAGAAGACGCAATGATCAACATAAGCAAAAGCGAAGTCCAGAGGAGACGAGAATGAAGAGGGAATCCTCTGCAGAATGGGGAAAATCGACTGTGAAGGAGGAGAAAGAAAAGCCCAACTTCGAGCTGTCAGGAAAATTGACAGAGGACATGAATACTGTCAATGGAGTAGTTATAAAATATTCTGAGCCTTTAGACGCCAAAAAACCCAAGCGTCGGTGGAGATTGTATCCCTTCAAAGGCGAGAAGGCGTTACCTACATTGTACATACATCGGCAGTCAGCATATCTTATGGGCAGAGATCGCAAGGTAGCTGATATACCTTTAGATCATCCTTCATGTTCTAAGCAACATGCTGCTCTGCAATATCGTGTAGTCTCTTATCAAAAAGAAGGTGGTGTTGAGGGTAGAAGAATACGACCATATATTATTGATTTAGAGTCCGCAAATGGTACCTTTGTAAATAATGTAAAATTAGAACCAAGGAGATATCATGAATTATTAGAAAAGGATGTGGTACGATTTGGCTTTAGTACCAGAGAATATGTTCTGTTGCATGAACATAGTAAGGATGATTCCTTTGATGATGATGTACCTCTTACAAATGAGACTTAGGTAAATAAATTTATTATATTACTTTTTTATCATATTACTTTTTTTTACTTATACTTTTTTATTATTTATATTTTTACTTATAATCTTTGTTCTGTTATCCACTGTTTCTCTCAATTTTCATTTTACATCTGTTTATCAAATAGTTATGTCATGTATAATATCTTTAAATTTTGTTTCATGTAAGTGAACTAAAGTTGGGTTTTTATTGTTATTTAATATTAACTTTTTAATTTATTCACATTTGTGTATTAGTAAATGGAACAGTCTAATGGAACGTGTACAACAAACCTTATAGAAACAGTTTAATCTTGACAGTCATGTAGTTTTTTTTACCTTTTTTCGCGTATAATCTCATGTTAGTATTTTTTAAATTATTTTTAACCTTTTGGACAGTCGTTTTAAAACAAAAATTTTTTTCTTTTTAGTTAACTTTAATTTAATGACCAAAATTAATTCGGACATTTTTAGTTATCTTGTAATTTAATGACCAAAATTAATTCACCACCACGGTTTTTCTCACATTTTATATGTTATTAGTTTATACTCATATGCGCTATCATTATGTAATTTTGTGAATATATTTTTTTTGTATTGAAGAGGACCTTGACCATAGGTCGAATATGTTTAATATTCATTTTGAATAAATGATATTAAAATACACACTAATAACTAGTGTTGGCTCAAATTAGCATTTAATTTATTATTTTTTAGAATTTTTTTTACTATAGACAATTTTTATGTTATGTAGAAAAGAAAGAATACGATTATACATTCACTTAGAAATAATAAAAAAAATTAAAATTGAAAAACTGATATGACTTGGCTATCTCTAATCATGTCCTTGTATTAACAAGAAAAAAGTTAAGAATTTTATAATTCCTACATTATATAGTATACAATACTTGTTGAGATTAAATGTTGTAAATTAAAGAGATAGAGATTGTCAGAGTTATTATAAACTATATACATTTATAAATATATATAATATTGAGATCTGGAGACATGGTAGTGTCTCAGCGCTAAGTTAAGTTCAAAGTTACTTAAAGTATTGTAGAATTATAAAATTAATGTTTTCTTGTTAACACTCTGGAATATAATCAGAGAGATCTAATTCATATTAACTTTTCAATTTTAATTTTTCTTGTTATATCGGACTAAATATGTAACTATATTCTTTCTTTTTTATATGACCTAAAAAATATCTTATATAATCTATCTAAATAAAAATATTTAGATATATATGTATATTTCAGAAACCACAAGAACCTAATTCTAATTGGAAAAACACCCAGAGAATATGTATGAAGACTGATGCAGAAATTAAGCTGAGAACCAGGAGAAGTAAGATAAATGTGAAAAAGGAAATCCAATATGTATGTAGATACATATGTATTTAGATACAGTCTTATTAATAATCTTTTGAATCTTCAGAACCATTTTGAATGCGTATTAATATTATTCATGTATAAAATAACAACGCATGTATAAAAGCAACTTTTAAAAATTAGTGAGTTTCTAAAATATACACTGGAAATTTACTTATTTATCACAAAGAAAGAAAAATAGTATCTCATTTGTGTACATTTCCCTGTGACATTAATTTGATATCTTAATAGTTTGAAATATATCATGTAAAATTGTAAACACGTAGGTTATAAACAATCGAAACTCTGATGTATATTGTTTGTAATATATTATTTACAATTATTTAGTTACAGTATTTACTGATTCACAATTTATTTTCCTATAAAGCTACTTGAAAATACAAATTTCAAGTATAGTCAGTCCATCGACACAAACTTCGCAAGATTTTATACATTCTAATTTATCTTTTCAATAAAAATACATACGTTTTCATGTTATTAAAACTACGCAAAAAACTTAACAATTTCTTATATTGATTTTCATATTTGCTAATTATCATCAAACATGAAATTTGTACAATGAAGTGAAACATTTCACAGATTTTATTCAATAAATATATAATATAATGTTATTTAAATCATAATTATAAAGTTAAATATATATTTCATATTTATCATTCTCTATTAACATATTCCTATATTAAATAACAGTTTCGCGATTATTACTAAAGCTGGAAAATTTTTACGTTCCAAAACGATCTGCCATATCTACGCGACAAATTTTTGAGTATAAAAGTTTATGTATGTACATTAAAATGGCAGTTTAAAGCTATTGTCAACTCCGCTCCTTCTATCTTTTATCTTTACATATGAAATACTTGGGCATTAATGGTATAAGAGAGCAGAGCTTAATGTATGAGCGTATGTAGTTTGATATATTTAAGGCACCGCGTTCGGATAAAAAAAGAAAAGAAACAAAAAAATTTGAGCAAAATCGTAGCGACTGTCTCGAGTAATTTTTCATAGCTACAAGGCAAATCTATCTGGATAGTTTCTGGAGAAAAATAGGTCTACTATGGAGTAATCACATAAAAAAAATCTTGCTTTAAAAATAGTATGAGTAGATGTGTGCAGAATCTATTGTCATACTTTATAAATATTGGAATATTTAATTGCCTCGATTTACATCATTCAAGCTCAGAAGCGATTCGTACGAATCTCGCTTATTTATACGAAATGTTTGCATAAATCTTTAGATTTGCCATGGTCGGCGACTCACGATCCATTCACTCTGACTGCGTCCACGTTTATATTTGTGTACGTGACGATGTTGCTACCGTCCTCGACGACGGGCGTCTGCCGCAGTAAATTCAGCAACGTGCTGTTTATCACGAGCGGTATATTCGCCTTGCCATTCTGCAAGTTCGAGTGAGTCCTCTGGACCTTCGGCAACATACTCTTCGTCACGACGCTCTCGCCCGAAGGCACTTCCCCATTCACGGCATTTGAGACGATGGCGTTGTTCTTCAGGGACGACAGGACCGTCTGCGAATTGATCAGGGACGAACTAGGACGTGTGGAAGGCGCCAGGCTATGCGAGCTACAACTTCTACCCTCAATGCTTGCCTCGGAGTCCCTTCGCTCACCCAAGCTGGTCTTATACTTTCGCTGACCGTTCAAGGACGAGAAGGAGTCCCTTTTCAGCGTCGCTTTCGCGATCGAGTTCACCGATTTCGAGCTATCCAAGGTATTGCATTTATCCAGCATTCCTGAAACCGACGTGCCTTTTCGATCCGGTAAGTTTAGACTAGTGATCGATGATCTTTTGTACAACTTTCTGTCAGACTGCTTTTGTTCTTCCGTCGAACGTTCCTTCTGCTCTTCTGTAGTCTCCGTAGGCAGACTGCTCTTACGATTGTGACTCGTACTACTAATCCTGCTTATATTTGCTAGATTCTGATCCGAGATGTGGATTGAGCGGGGTACTTCGTAACCATTCGTAGGATTCTCCCTTAAGACGATATCCTCGTTATCCGCTAATAATTCTAAATACTTCGGAGCCTCACCGGATTGCGGATTGAGCGTAGCGTTGTTTGAGTTTTGCAAGAAAGGTTGCATGTCTCGGCTTCCTTCGGAACTACTGGATTTCCACGAGTTGCCTATACAGAGTAACAATGAAAATGTATGGCAAAGTGAATTTTATTAACTTATTAATTGTGGAATTCTAAGATTTTACGTATTTCGTGATAAGAAAATGACATTTCCGTACATTGCATGTTTTCGTGTTTGTTATATTACTTTTTATATATCCAAGAAATTGCGAATCACGTTATGTACGGGTTAATTACAATGGTCAGAAAAATACGCTCGATGAGAAGTGGAAAAATCGTATTTCTTGACATGGGATGGTAGTGTAGAGAGGCACACGATGTTTGTTAAGACCTACCTGAATTATTATGATTCTGATTCTCGTCAGCAAAGTAAGCCATGTTAGACACGCCTGCAAGCACGAGCCATGCAATGATCAATATGTATTCAAGCAGATAGAGAGTAATATTCCAATACATTTTAAGGATGATAGAAGTTTCACGACAAAACGGATTTCGTCATATGATTTGACAATGTCGAGTTATGTGAATGTATGAAAAACATGCTTATTTTTCGCGGTATAAGAAACGCGAAATCTACACTGTAAATTAATCTAATAATTTGCGAGAGATTTTTTTATTTTTCTAATATTCATAACTCAGTAAACTTCAAAAGTATTAATATCAATATTATAATTTTACACTGAATAACGTAACTATTATGTAATATATTTGTTATATTCAAATTGTTGAGTGTGAAATTGTATGTTGATGTTGTGTTACTTTTAGCTGATATATACTGAAAATTTACGAAGTAAAAAAGACTTTTTATTCCTTGCAGCTTTTCCATTCTACGAATTCTGTTTTGTGTGTGTGTGTGTGTGTGTGTGTGTGTTTTCCAAAGAAATATTTCTCACACTTATACATTGTGTGTAAACGATGTATTATGTGCAAATTTTTATAGTAGCCGTTACATACATGATATTAAGACGAATGATTCGTAGATATATTGTTTCATAATGCGGGGGAATAAAAAATTGCATAATTTTAATCAACATTCTATTGATTTGCAAAGATTCCTCGTTCCATGCAGAAATATGCGCGCAAATAAGGATTAATATTAATTTACCTCTGCGTGCCAGATAATGCCCAGCATGCACTGGGCTCAGCACCGCGTCTTCTATGTGACTTCTCAAAACGACGATGCTCTCGAGACAAATTTTGAAGCTCGGTCTGGCGTCCGCTGCGCTCCAGCAACGCAGCATCAGCTGGTGTAATGTCGGAGGACAGTTGAGAGGTTTCGGCAGCCTACCGCCTGCACGCACGTAATGTAACACTTCCAGATTGTTCCTGGCAGGATAGGGTTGTTGCCCCAATGACGTAATTTCCCACATTAGCACCCCGAATGCCCAAACATCACTCTGTGAAGTGAATACCCCGTCCACTAAGGATTCCGGAGCCATCCAGCGAACAGGAAGCAAACCTTCTCCTTCCTGAAATTGTCATTTTTTTATTTTTAATTAAAAAAATTGTTTTCTTTCTTTTATTTGAATAATATCTATTCTAGAAACGAGTATGAATTAAATTGTACAACGTTCAATTTCTCGTTCTCAGAAAGAGAAATATTTCTTAAGCTTCGCTTCTGCACAGAGGTAAATAATATTATTTTGATGTGAAAATGAAAGAGAGCAGTTTATGAAGTTTCTTATTTTATCCAAAAGTCTCTGACCTTGCGGTAATAGTCATTCTTGTAAATATCTCTGGCTAGTCCGAAGTCACCGATTTTCACGACGCGATTTTCTCGATCTCTCGCAGACACCAGACAATTTCGACACGCGAGATCTCTGTGCACGAAATGCAACTCCTCCAGGTAGCGACAGCCACGTGCGACGTCTTCGCACATGGCCAGCAGATCTTGCAGACGCAGAGCGTGCGGGTCCGTGAGTTGCAAGGACCGGCTCTCTCTTAAATAACTTAACAAGTCACCAGCCTCCATTAATTCCAACACGAGTAACGGAGGATCTGTATCCAAGCAGACGCCCAGTAACCTCAGCACGTGTTTATGGCGAAAATGGCTCATGAGCCTTGCCTCTTGCAAAAATTCTGTCTTCTCTTGCGAAGAGGCGTCTTTTCGTAGCATCTTTATGGCAACGGGCGTTATGCCCGGTCCTTCTAAATCCTTGGCATTTCCTTGAAATACCTGCGAGACATTGATTTAGAATTGATTTAATATATAAATCATGTATAAAAAATTCTAAATTTTAATATTGCAAAAATAATTCTTTTCTCATGTCTGATTTTATCTTAAAATACCTCAGACATTAGAAAAAGAACTAAAGGTGCAAGTTTAATTTCTTTATTTCTTAGCCCTTTAAAATTATTTTTTGTATTTTAGGATTAAATCTTACCTTTCCGAATGCGCCACTGCCTAGGAACTTTGCCAACGTGATTTGCTCTTGTCTGATTTTGGGCAGTGCAGAATCATCCGGATCATTTTGTAACGTAGACGCGTAAAGCGCGTTAGATTGAACGAAGTTTCCGCGAGGGATCTCGCGGAGGGTCGCTAATTCGACATCGGACACTATTGGAGGTAAAACTGTCTTTTTGTCTTCTTTCCGTTGTCGGTACACTGCTGGATAACGTCATAATATACTCGTCTGATATCACATATTGCCAAATAGACATATAATAAATATATAATTAAATATGAATTGTCTTCTATTAAGTTTAATTTGGAAAATACTATTTTATCATTTAATTAATTTGTAATTGAAAGCACAAACATCATAGCAAGTATACTTACGGCAGAAAAAATAACAAAAGCACACGAACATTATGGTAATAACAATCGCGATGAGGCTCAGCATCAGCGGTAGATGCTGTTGCGTAGCCAATATTCCTCCAGCAAACTCTGTTAGATCAATAATCGCGCTCGATTTACTCCAAGCGCCAAAACCATAAGCATTTTTGGCTTGCACGCGAAACTTGTACTTCTGATCCACGTCTCCGGGGATTATCCAATAATTGTCCGTTCCATTATAATATAAATCCCAGTGCTCGTTCTCTTTACTCCCGTCATCTTGCTTGTAACTGTCGTCGATGACCAAGCCTTCCAATCGATACAAAGTTACCTGTGAGCCATGAGCTTGCGCGGGTTCCCAATTTAATTGATACACGGAATTTCGGTATTTTGTTACCACAGGCACCCCTGGAGCGCTCGGGACGTCACCTTTATTGCACGAAATCCAATTTAAGTTTCTCTTTATTTATTTCAGTACTTTTTCAAACTTGAATCAATTTTAAACTGAAGGGTGAAATCTCACTCTTAAAGATTGAAAATCGAGCCACTCTTTTTCAAGACTAGTTCAATTTTCACTCTTAACAGTGAAATTTCACTCCAAAGAATTTAGAGAGTATACTTACTTCTATTTAAAACTTTATAACTCAATTATTCATTTCTATAAAAATATTAAAATATGCTTATGGTAAGCATGGAATATTAATAATGTCTCGATCACGCATGCTTACCGAGTGTTTGAAATGTAAATCTCCCATCGGATGGTTCCCATATGAAATCTTGATACTTGGGATATTTCAGTCTCAAGCGAAACTTATATAAAGTGCGTGGCTGCAAATGTTCTATACGATACATCACTTGGTCCTCGTACACCTCAACGTGTTGCACGACTTGCCACTTCTCCATTGCAACGTCTTGGTACTCCAATATGTAACCAATCGTTAGATTGACGGTCGGGATCCAAGATATGTTCATGCTGTTTACGCTGACTCCGTTCATTATTAAATTATTTGGCTCCGAGTACATGCGGATGCGTTGCCTGAGACTGTCGTTGTAAAAGTCGTGGAAATTGACAGGATACACGCGTACGTACACCAGGTACTCCTGCCCTGGCAACAACGACTGTAGCGTTGTGAAAAACCTGCCATCCGCTGTACGTTTGGGCTTCTCGATTAGCTGCTCGCCCTTCTGTCGCATGCCGTTCTGCAAAAGATCATTCGACCTCCAATGCACCTCGTAGTGCACCACTGCGGAGTTCAGCATCTTGGGTGGCATCCAATAGACCTCCGCCAACGTTGGTGTTAGGGCCTGAACCATAACATTCTCGGGCCTGCTGGGCTTGCCCACGCTGGTCTTCAGCATCACCTCCTCGCCGAATTTCAATGTCTTTTCGTATAAATTGCTCAGTGCCAATTTCAACTTGTATTCCGTGAATGGCTTTAAATTCTGAATCTCGTAACGCCTCTCGTACGTCTGCACACTGATCTCCTCACACTTACTGGATTCATTCTTCAAACAATGAGACACATTGATAGTGTACAGCGTAGTGGGTAAACTATACTTTTGACATCTGTATTCAGGATTCGGTTCCGGAAGACTAACAATGATGCTATTCGCTGTTTCGTTCACCCTCTCAACATTATAAACTGTTTGACGGGGTATCAGGCATTTCATGATGGGATAGGGTTGCAAGGATGTACCAAAGGCTGTGATTCGATTTACATTAGGTAGGTAGAAGTTTTTCACTTCCGGATTGAATGCATTTTCCTTGTTCTTCATGAAGAAATATTTCTTTCTCAAAAAATGGATTTGATTTTGTCCATCGTACCAATATATGTTTATTTTATCGACCGTCAAAATCTGTATATTGGAACTTGCTCTTAATATCATTTCGCACGTGCAGCCGTAAATATCAGCTACGTTTAATCGATTCTCATCCGATGTCCAATACATCATCGGTATTTGAATATTGGTTTTGTCAATTGTGAATGTGAATACATTTTTTGGTTTTTGCGGACAAGTACACGTGCTATCATTATTTCCAAAAAAGTATTGTACATTTTTTCCCTCGAAATCCGACTGCATTATACTGTCATTTGGCTCAATCCAATATAAAGACCTGAAAAATATTTTATTTCCTCTAATAATTTTAAATATTATTTTAAAATAAATATAATCAAAACTATATACATTTTTTTTTACATTCATGCTTTTTAAGTTATAATTTATCTTGATTACAGTGAGCATATTGAATAATTAAAAAATAACAATTAATTTGAATATTTTAGATAGATAGAAATATTGACGTACCCCAGAGATGGCAAGATATCTAAAACTGTAATACTTCCTCCTCTTCTTAAGATATTTTTGTACTTGATTATGCCTGCCTGCAACATTGTTAAATCCAATCTTTTGATATAACTGTTTCTGTTGTTGTCTTTGTTTTCGCCTTCCACCCAATACAAATTTCTTGCTATCCAATCGACGCAGAGGCTGTGCGTATTGGTTCTGTTTAGACGGAGTATTTTTGTCACGTTGGTTCCATTTGTCAACGATGTCACCAATTCCTGCATCTCGCTGATCCAGTAAATCTTATCCTCCTCTCCCAAGTAATCGATCTCTTTCGCGACGTGCCTGGTGATTGTATTATCGATCTTTCTATCCAAGTCTGACAATCTCACAGCGTCATTTGTGGCAACTAATAATTTTGGCACCGGATTCTCGTATGTGGTCGACACATTGATAGGATTCGTGTAAGGACCAGCACCGATCTTAGTATATGCTCTTACTTTGCAGTAATAGGTCATGTTAGATGTTACATTAGACGTCGCATACTCCAGCGTGGTAGTTTCGATGCTGCAGTTGTTACAGATAAATACTTCCGTTTCGTTCACGATATGCCAACATTCGACAATGTATCCTTGAATTACTCCATTTGTAAACTCGGGCGGATTCCATCTGTGAAATAAGATATTTTAACGTTTCTATATCGCGAATCTGTAGCGAAATTAAATGTTATACATATTTGTACAAGATATATACAAATCTAAGAAAATAAAAGTATATATAAGCACAAGATTCTAAATTCTATACCTAAATATCAACCAAACTTTCATGTCCATGTGTATGTTTTTCTTGCTGAACTCTACAAACGCTCTGGGAGATGTTGGCTGGCTCGGTACACTCTGTGGAGATCTCAGGATTTTCCGAGAATGGTGCGCCGTTTCCCAATAAGTAAATGCCTTTACAGTGACTTCCAGAACGGAATAGGGCAGGATCTGATCCGAATTGTTGTATGGCATTGTCGTTTCGATCGTGATTTCCGGGTTTGAATTCGTATTAATGTAATCCGCGAATTTCACTTCGTAAAAAACCGTGCCGTAGTTGATATTCTTCACGGGGTCCCATGATATGTTGAAGTTTCTCCAGGTACCTTCAACTCTTATGCTATCGAAATCAACTGCGTTCGGTAGAACTACCACTGTTTCTGACGTCAGATTTTTTGGATACTGATGATGCGCGGGATCCGTAATGGTTACCATGTACAAGCTGGACAAAGTGATTCCGTTGATTACCGCGGTATTCTGACCGGAGAGATCACCGATCACTGCGTTTCTGTCGTCCTGCAGCCACAATAGGTGCTCAGAAAAATAGCACAAAGGTCCTTGCATGTTTGGATGTTGCAAAGCAGAAACCTTTGAATTAAAAAATTTATTATTTATATTATTTTTATTTTTAACCATTTATTTTATTTTTATTATGCTTAATTATTGTATATTATTAAAAAATAATTAAAGTTGTTGCCGCGAGATGTATAATTTTATCACTTAAAATAATGATTAAGTAATATAACAAATGATTATTATGATATACAAGTATACTACATAATATTTAAAAATAATTTATAAAACCAATTGATTGCATAAAATGTACCTTTTCTGGAGTGATTTTTTGATTCATTGAAATTCTTTCGGATGTAGGTGCACGGAAGACAATGGATCCACTTTCGTAGCTTCGAACGATCCAGTAAACGTATCTGTTTTCAGTGTCGAGAGTTAATCCCATTACTTGCTTTCCATTGAAAATTTCATCCAAGTGATAGTATCTCCTGTCTTGCCCATTCAATCGCGCAACTTCCACTGCGTGACCAGTGGACCAATACAAGTACGCCTCGAGAGAATCAATCATGAGTTCTTTTACAATTGCTAAGATGGACATCGGCTCTTGCTGAGATCCATTCAGGTTCGCTCTTGTTATCTGTATATTGAAAATAATATTCATAAAATATAAAAATAATATGAAAATTTTACAACCACTAAAGATTTAAATGGCAATCATAGAATCTCATAATGTAATGCATATTCTGTAAATATTTTTTGCTTTTAATTATATATATATAAATACAATGAAGAACGTAAATAATGGAATTTAATATAGTTAATTTGTTTTAAATTAAGAAGACTAAGTACTTGGGTCAAAAATAAAAATCTAATTATATTTACAATTTGCTGTTTTGGATTTGCCCAATATAGTTTTTTCGATATCCAGTCCACAGCGACGCTTCCCACCGAATGTATGTTGAGTTTTGTTTTCTGATGATTGCTGACATTATAACGATACAATGCAGAATTATTTCCCACTATATACAGCACGTCCTTGTACCAGCTAATATCAACAATATGGAATTCGTTTTCGGACTCCTTTAGACTCGCCTTGTTAACCAACGTGTCGATATTTTCGCCAGTTACGTCGCTTCTCAAAATTCCTTCGTTCGACGACCACAAGATAGATGCGTGTGAACCGTTTCTAAATATAATTTCATTTAATTACTAATTGAGATAATTGGCACAAAGTGTAAAAACTTTGTAAATATAAATTCTACGCATGTAAAGCTTAAATTAAAAAAAGCAATCGAAAAAACATTGAATATAATTTTTTTTAAATAGTTAAAATCAAAATGATATAAAGCTGATATGTTGAATTTATTATTTATTATTCATTAAATTTCGCCAAATAAAATTATTTATTAATGTTACCTTAAGGTTTGTCCTCGAAACTCCGTGGACCACGGTCCTCTGCCGGCGCTGGTATAGGCCGCGGCTTTGATTGAATATTCCGATCTTTCTCGCAAATTATGAACAGTATGAGACGATCCGGCGATACCTTTTTGGTGAATAGTTTCGCCAGTAGATTCGTCCTTGATTTCGAGCTCGTATGACCAGTTTTGCCAGGCGCCCTTTCCTTGGCCACCCAGTAAATGAGGAGCTTGCCACGAAACCTTTGCCCTTTCCGCTCCTAGAACAGCTTGCACTCCTGTCGGTGGATTCACTGGCACTGGCACCGGCTGACTTGCATTCATCAATACGGTCACACTTACAAAGGAAGTGTCAGACCTAAAAGAAAAGGAATAGTTATGCGTTATTAATGTTTTATTAAACATAATTAATATTTTAATTTTGCAGTTAAACGCATAAAATTGAATAAAATCATTTAGAAAATTAAAAAAAAATATATTACTTGTCAGGATAGGAATTGTGGAAGTATCTGTTTTGGCCAGCATGATAGCCTTCAGTGAGGACCTCTTCGCCATTAGTCCAGTAGAAGAGTCCATTTGCCATAGCTAGTGAAATAACGTTATTGAATTTCGGTTTCTGCGTATTCGGGCGAAGATTAACAACTTCGCGACCATCTAACGATACAGATATCACTGTGTTTTTAGTGTGATCAGGAACGAGCAATCGAAAATTCGTATGGTCTACCGTAAAAGCACCCAAATGAGCATCTTCGAGAATTAAATCTGGTCGAACCTAAAAAAACAAAAATAACATCAAGAAATTCTTAAAAGGTAATTATTTTTTTTATTATACTATATCAATATCGTGACATTTTTAAAGCTTGTTTAAAGTGTTGTACTAAGAGACGCAAAATCTTTATACATTTAAAATCGAAAATAATCGATTTTAAATATATAAATATTTTGCGTCTCTTAATATAATTTAAAAAAGTAAAGGCTTTGATAATATAATGATGACAAAATAAAAATAATTGGCACCTCATGTTTCACACCGTTGCTGATAACGGCTAAATCTAATCTGTACAGTCCTGCTTTAGTGACCCAGAAAAGGTATCCGTTGTAAGGATCAATCTCGATATGCGAGGGTCTAGTTAGAAGTCCAGCTACGGCCACTGTCAAACTCTTGCCATCGAGATTGCATCTGGCTATTTGCCACGTCGCGGTTGTAGCGTGTTTTACTTCTCCTAAGACGTACAAGTGAAGATTCAGCCAGTCAACGGAAAGGCTCAAAGGTTTGAAGTTCACTCCGTCGGGGATCAAAATGGCCCTCGGTATGGATTGCTCGATGATCGAAGTTCGGTACACATAACCCATCGAAGTAGAAACGAATAATTGAGCTGATGCCACGTGTATTGCAACGCCGCGGATTACACTTTTGGTTTCGTAAACGACGCTAGGCTCATCCAACATATCAGCACCCTGCTTCATGACCAAATGCTCACCACCGAGGATGAGAATTGGTTGTTGAGTATCCTTGACTAAAATTTGTCATTATTCGTTTTATTAGTCACTTTAAAACATTTTCATGTCATAAACGTAAATTACAAAGTCTGAAAATTGATAGCTAGTGCTTTGACTCTTTAAAACAGGTAATGTAAAAGTGTACATTAAAAAGCTAGATTGTTTGAATGAAATTTGGTCAGTAAATAATAAAATCGACGATATTTATCTTAAATTATTTTACGTATTTTATTGTATTTTTTTTGGCAGAAAACAAGATTTGTATTCTTTCTACTGTTGAAGGTTTCTCTATTTCTTGAAAAGTTAAATATCGTGTGACAAATTTCTTTTTGGGTTAATGTTAAATATATATTAATTTTCTCGTAACGTACCGGTAGGTTCTGGAGTCGTAGAAATATAGATAGTTGCAGGCGGACCCTCGCCGACACTATTTCTCATAGTCACACTAACAGAATAATTCTGATTGGGTTCGAGGTTTTGAAACATATAGTGATCGGTATTCTCGGAGACTGGAATATCCTGTCGATAAAATGTAAGATATACTGTATAACTCATGGAAACATGGTATCCCTATTGCTAGGAAGTAGATATGCAGTTACGAGAATAAAAGAACGCCATGCCAGAAACTTTTGCAGATAATCTGGTTCGTGCAAGTCGTCGGACTAATGTTAGAAGATACCATAATTAAGTTGTGAGGAATTTACCATTAAAGCAATATAATCGGAGTTAAGATCAAATAATTAATGCCATTGCGCTTGCATAAAGATTTTACGATACTCGATTCACCGACTTTTTTTATTCTTTCTTGAAATAAAATAAGAAAATACGCTATCTGAGTAACTAAAGAAATAAAAATTTCTTGAATATCAAGCGTGCGCAGTAATACTTTGCATGGCATTAATGCTTTGTATAAAGCATGCATTCTTTGTAAATTGGTATTAGTATGCAACACAAAAAGCTAAAAGGTATGGAGTAAAAATTTATTGGCTTTCATCTATAGGATATCAAGTAGTTCAATATCATGACGGCAAAAATCTTAAATATTTTTAATGTAGCAGCATTATCTTCTATATCGCGATTTCTAATTAAAATTTAATTGATGTGGCCAATAAATTTTTACTTCATACCTTCAAACAGGATAACGGAGTCTACCTTGCAGAACCAGTTGCATATCGCTCTTTTGCAAACAACAGTTAGGTAGTACAGCAAAGCGTGACGACGCCGATGCGCCTTGCAAGCGCATGAAAATGTCGACTATAGCAGTGCACAGGGTTGAAAGAAAAAAAAGAAATGTGCACAAGTAAGTAACGCGAAAGACACGTCAATGTATATACTAAAATGTAGTTCGGCTGTAGAATAAATATGTCTCTAAACTATGTATACTTTCTGGCGTGGCGTGTACCTTAAGCTGGCTCAACCCGTGTTCAACCCCTTGCAGACGCAGGACATAAGACAAAAGTGGCCCGTTCGGGAATGGGCCTGGTTCCCAAGACACAGAGACGCGGTAACTGTCTACCGCCGCCGCTCTTACAATTACCGGTGCTGATGTCGGTAGATCGGCCGCGTATGTTAATATTACCACGCTCGGTGCTGAGACGATCGGCTCTGGATTGTGTTGCGATGATTTCAGGAGTAGCGCTACGCGAAACTGTAAACGCCAGCGTTCGTTTCATGAATGTTTTCATGAAGAGGTATCCGTAAGGAAAGAAACGGTTCAACAGTTTAAGAATATTCCACCTAAAGTCTACATTAAGTCTAGATTAACGTTCATTGACGGAATCTCTCTCAAGGATAATGGGAATAATTTTATATTTCGTTAATATATGAAAGCAAAAGTGATTTATTCAAGTATTACAAGTGAGTAGAAAATTAATTCTCAATTTGTAATTAATGAAGATCCTCAATTAATCCTTCTTCGTTTCCGTGTTCAATTATTATGCTTCCAATTTTGCCCCATTCTCTTTCCATTCCTTACATACCCTATATTTTGTGTACGGCTGCAGGTTCTCGACCAGTATCTGATCACCTTCGCCCCATGACTGATTGCGGCAATATTGCCACGTCTCAGCTAATTCTTCGTATCTCCATTGCACCAAGTATGAAATGCCAGCACGTCTGTCTATGTCTACACCTTTCCATTCGAGACTGAGTGACGTCGCCGTCAATGAATCCGCAACCAATGCCGGCGCTGGTGGAATGCCGATTTCCGCTGTTCATTGAAAAGATTTTCTTATTTAGTGTAGAAAAAACCTTATACAATAACTGAAGTACAAATACTTAATTTTATTTATATCTATAAATGCACTACAGGTCAAAAGTTTGGAAACTTAAAAAAAATTGACATTTTTGGGTTTATTTATTTTCAAATAAGTATAATGCGTTTTTTTTAATGATAATTCTTTAGATCCACAATAATTGAATAACTATTTATTATTGTCTGAAGAATTATTGTTAAAAAACACATTGTTGGATATTTAAGTTTTAAACAAACCCAAAAATGTCAATTATTAAAAAATATTTCCAAACTTTTGATCTGGAGTGTATATGCATGTACAGAAAGTGGACATAATTAAAAAAAAAAAAAAGAATTTAATTTTCGATATAAATAATGCAGGAGCAGAAATAATACTGCAACGCAACGGAATTATGAAAAACAATGTACGATCATATCGTTACGCAGAGCAATCTTAAACAATACGCCCTGTCATATCGTATCATCTTAACCCTCCACTTCGAAAGTGAAGCGTTAAACGTGATTTGAACGACACAATGGTCGACACTGAAAGAGAACGGATGTTCATGGAATATAACGAAATTCTGGACAACCTGAAGACGATGTTCCTGGAAAAGTGGAAGGTGAAAAAGGACGATAAGGGGAAGTCGGATGACTTTCAGCATTACCGAACTGTCGGCACCGGTGCCTTCGGCCGCGTTATACTCGTAAAGCACAAGTCAACGAACACGTACTATGCCATGAAGATTCTCGAAAAAGCAAAACTGGTGAAGACAAAACAAGTGGATCACACACGTGACGAAAAACGGATCCTGCAGTCCATCAATTTTCCCTTTTTGGTCTTCATGGAGTTCAGCTTCAAGGCAAGGGTTGAGAATCGAAGTAGCAATGTTACTAATCTTTCAAATCTCGTAAATATACAGAAGAATCTTTTTTTAAAACAAGAAATTAAATTCATAAAAAAGTTATACAAGTTTGCAAGTTATCTAATTATCTTCGTGTCTCGATACATTATGCATTATTAAGCGACAATGTTTCGTAAATATTACAGTTCACTTTATCAGAACTTCTCCTTCAGAGAAGCGGCTTATCGGATTGTTTCTCGCCGATATGAAATGAACTACAATGTTTACAAAACGTTGGCATTTAATGATATATTAAAATATGGAGATAAATCGCGTACGCTGTAAAAAATATTGGTGTAGATTTAATAACATATGATGTCTTATACATAATTCTCACCATGTTAATGTTAATATTAGCAGGATGGATTTATAATCCTTAGTGTTTATATCAATATTATTATGATATAGATTTATATAATTTTCACAGAGTGCGAGCGTAGCATAGTGGCAGCGCACCAGGTTCGCATTATTCTCAATAATTTTATTTTTCACAAAGTAAAAATTATATAAATACTACATGATGTTAAATCCACATCAATATTTTTTAGAGTGTAGCTTCTTTGAAAAAAAAAAAACGATAGCTTTAAAAAAAACCGAATAGTCTCTCTATATTTAATAGATATCCAAAAAACTCTTTTATAAAACAGATGCATAAACGTGTTTTAATTCCTATTTTAAGGACAATTCGTATGTGTACATGGTGATGCCGTTCGCACAGGGTGGCGAGATGTTCACCCATCTCAGGCGTATGGGGAAGTTTAATGAATCGCTAGCGAAGTTTTATGCCGCCCAAGTAGCCTTAGCCTTGGAATATCTGCACCACTGCAGCTTGATCTACCGAGACTTGAAGCCGGAGAATATCCTGATACAAAACTCCGGCTACATCAGGATGACCGACTTTGGTTTCTGCAAAATGGTGGACACTCGCACATGGACATTGTGCGGCACACCGGAATACCTAGCGCCGGAAGTAATTTTATCAAAGGGTTACGGTAAGGCCGTCGACTGGTGGAGCTTTGGTGTGCTGATCTACGAGATGAACGCAGGATATCCTCCTTTCTATGCGCACGACCCTATGAAGATCTACGAGAAGATCATTTCTGGTAAATACAAGTTCGCGCATCATTTCGGAGAAGAGTTGAGGGATATACTGAAGCATATTTTGCAAGTGGATCTGACGAGAAGATACGGCAATTTGAAAGAAGGTAGTATGGACATCAAGAGGCACCGCTGGTTTAAATCTATTGACTGGATCGAGATCTATCATCAGAAAGTACAGCCGAGTTTTATTCCCCATTGTAGTAACAGCGGTGATACTGCCAATTTCGATCTTTTCGATGAAGTACCTCTCAAGATTTCGTCGTTTGATCAGTATAGTAAGGAATTCGCAAATTTTTAAAAATAACGTTAGCAAAGTAATATAAAAAATAAGAGATTATAATGGAATTACGTGAAAACGGTTAATTGTGTATGAAAATATCTTTAAGTATTTTTAATCTAAGTCCGTATTAAAATTAATTTACGATGGCAATTATTAATTAACAACATTCTTTAAGCATATCAGAACAATACTTTATGTAATAATATAAAAAAGAGAGAGAAAAAGGAAGTACATAATTAAAGATATGCATTTTTTTAATTTAAATATATATTAGTACTTGTTTTTACGTATCTAAGTGCTCTATACTTAAATACAATTAGATTGCATAAAGTAATATTTAACTATAAGTTTGAAGTAATATGTTGCTTTACGTTTTGACATTAAAAATATAAATAAAAATATTGTTTACTCTGATAAGATTTCTAATAATAATTTAATTCTGTACTTGTATATTACATTTATTATGTAATAATAAATGTACAGCTATCAAGTAATTTATAATTTTAAATTAATATCTTGCGAGATACACCATTACCTTTGAGCTGTTGAAAGTAACGATTTAACGCGTCGTGGCAGCCCAAAACGCAGTACAATTCCTTTGGTGGTAACAATTCTTGCGTCCCATTCTGTAAACATATATCGGGCTGACATTAAGAGTTTTATTTCTATAAATTAAGAAAATATTACGTAAAACTGCTGTGCGAAAAACTACATTACGAGTATAGTGCAGCTTTACGTAAGTTTCTCCGATAATAAATGTCATAAAAATAAAAATGACTGCGATACTAACGCAAACAGCTTGGCAGCTTGTGTCGAGCGCTTGTTCCCATGCTTCGCAGCCTTTTGTACACTGCAATAATAAACATAAAGATAAGAAAAACGACAGTGGAGATATTCTAATTTCACGTGTTTGTAGAAGAAATGACCTCAGTCTTTCTAAATCTTGTAAAAAATTTCGAACCAAAAATGCAGAAAACCATTATCCTTGATCTTTTTTCTAATAAAATAAATGCATTATCTTATGTTCACGTTGAATTCTTCTTGCTATAGTTCTTTTCTACAGTTCTTTTCAAATGTTGTTGTTTTTGTATGAATAAACTTTGTTAATTATGTGCTAGGTAATACACGTAATGAACGGTTTTGCTGAAATTATCTAAAAAATTAGCTAGATGTAAAAACAATTTTGTTGGATCGTTAAAAATATATAGATTATATTAGACACGCAAACTAATTGCTAGAAATATAAAAATTTTTTGCAACATTATCATCATGCTTGTACCTACATAATTATTTTGATAGTTTAAAATAATTTTCAAACCTGTATCTACACAGTCAAATTTTTATTTTTAATAAAACTATTCATTTATGTATAAAAATAAAATATTTTAATGTAAATGAAATAAAAATAATTTAATATAAACATAAAGGCCATAAAAATATTTTCAAGTTTGGAAGACGAACTTTGTCTTTATACAAGTCTTTCCTCTTGAAAATGATATGAATTTAAGTAAAATACCTATGTAATTAATATTATATCGCAGTATCTAAATAAAATTTGATAAATATATAAATAACTTTTATATTTCTCTTTTAAAGGCATTTAAAACAAAATCTATTTCACGAGGGCTTACTATTATTTTTAATTTGGCGCTATTTCTTTTAATAATTAGAATTTTTCGCAGTAATTGCGTACAATATTCGCAGCTATCTCATCTCAACACATTTAATGTTCTGGGCAAACAATGAAATGCATCACGCGTATATATTGGATTTGTAGAAAATCGGTCTGTCCGGTGCGCATCCTTCCACCGAAGGTCGTCGAGTGTTCAACAATTCGTTAAAATACAGCTCCGGAAGTGGTCGAACAATGGGTCACGTTATCCGGAGCAAAGTGACATAACTCGTCGTGCCGCTACGTGGCGAAACAGTAATTTTTCGTGGCCGATCTCGGGCTGCTTGGCACGTGCCTCAAGTAACGCCTACGTTCATAAGACGTTCGTTGCATGGTACCATGTCGGGCATGGATTTGCGAACTGAAGTTTAACGCATTAACTTTCTGCACGAGAGGATGTGGGCATTTGTCGTCGACAACAAGCCAGCTGTAACCGAGAACGCGTACGGCTCAGCTTCCACTACGCCAATGCACATTGTTTATCTTGGTTTATTGATGTGAATCTTTCGGGGCCATGGTAGTCTCTTGAAAATAATCCCTAAGAGAAGGCCCCTGTCCATATCAAATAAAAATACATATTTAAATTTAGCGAGTGCTGTTTTATGATTTTATGACAACCCAGAGGGACTGAGAATAAATTTATCAAGATGAATGTAACTTATTATTGAGAAGAGAACTCTAAAGTTTAATACTTTATGCATGGATCAATAAAAGAGAAAAAGTCGCCTTTATATTTGTACGCTTCATTAACACGTTATTAATTCTCATTAGTCTGGTTTCGATTAGTTTTATTGTTTTTTTTTTAGGTTCGAAAGTTTTTTAAGTTACTTTATATAGATTTAATTGCTATATGTATACTGACATATAATATGCTTGATTTTTGTATTAATTTAATTTCTTCATTTAAAGTTAGTATTATTATTGAATTATAAATTTATACATATAAAATGCGATAAACGAATAAATATTAGTTACATAAGAAATAAATGGCTAAAAGGGAATTTGAATAAACTTTAATGTTCTGGATTTTTGTTCTTTTAAACGTGAGAAATTTCTTATGCAATACATCGGACAGAGATGTATAAGTGTCGTTGAGTTTTTAAAGAAAACTTTAAAGTGAAACAAGCATTCAAATGCAACTGAAAGTATAAATATACAGAAGCAACTTGTCTCTCGAGTGTTTTGAGAGTGTAGCGGTTTCTATAATAGATCTGTAGCTGTGTTTTTGGAACATTTCAATTATCACATTTTTAACAATTATAATTGATACGATGATTTAATTCCATAGTTTCTATTACATATATTTAATTGAAATAGTACTTTTCACGAAAGAACAATATTTCTTTCTCCTTACTTTTTTCTGGTCACTCCATTGTTATAATTTTATCGGCCTTAATAATAAATAAATAAAGTATAATTTCGTAATATATAATAGATCTATTTTAACCTCCGGATACAAGAGGTGCTATTTAACAATTGGCGAACTGATCGACACTCCGCTTAGTTTGAGAGGCGCCGCATATAAATAATACTGCACTCGGCATTGCAGAATAATAAGCAAATTACATCGTACGAGAAACCCAATTTCCTTGAGCGAACTGTGACGTACTTTTAATCTAATTATAAAATTAATTGAAATTTGATTACAAATTGATTTATGCTAAATGTTTTTTTTTTTTCAGTTTTAAAACAATTATATTTTTTGAGAAAAATATAATAATTACACTCAAAAAATATAATTAAATAAAAAAAAATTGGTCTGAGATATAACATTGATATTTCTCAATACCGATATTTTTTGTCTTACATCATATATATTTACTATCAAAACAGACACAAATGAGATGTTTACGAATTCTTTTGATAAAATTACAATCATCCACACGTATTAAACAGCCTATACTATATGTTATCATTATATTTTTGGCAAAAAATTACACTTAATTGTTAATATAATAGTGAAAAATCCGAATAACTAAAACTGTAAACAGACACAGGCAGTTTTTTTAATAATGGACTTATGTTTAGTCTTCATTAACAATTCTTGATTTTTTCATCTCTCAATACGCACGCTAGGTTTCAAGATTGTTTCATAATTATACTTAAAAAAAGATGCAAGTCTGACGTGAACTGTAGATGGAACTTTCAAGACGCATTATACGCTCATAACAACACGCGTGTATATGGTGGTGTTCGAGGGTATCACATAGGTCAGCTCGTATGAAAAGTCCGTGGAAGGAAAGGAACCTCCAGTACCAGAGATAAACGTTATTAATAATCATTTGACGCTGGAGTTCTGCGACAGTTCTGGTAAATCATCGAGTGTCACATCTCAAATCATAGTCGTTAATTTCCTGCTATAAATAAATTTGTTTTTATTAATCGCAGAATTATGTCAGCGGTATTTAGTAATCTTTTATTAGCATTTTAAATTGATAAAAAACATTTGCAAGTTCGATTCTTGCTATATCGTAAAGTTTTGGCGATTCTTCGAATAATTAAAAATAGACTTAAAAAAATAGGTTTACTTAAATTTTAACTTATTTAATATATTATTTATATATATTTAATAGACAAATATTCAAACGTACTAACATTGGAATTTATACACGTTTGAATTAAGTGTATACAATTCGAGTATATCTAGCATCAAAATTTGCTTTGTAATTCTGATAGCTAAGGAGCCATGCTAAAACGTAAAATGTTTATTTTACTTACGTTTCCATATCATGTGAGTACGCTGAGGAAAAAACTCTTGATTAATGTCTTATCTCTAATTTATGACCGCAGTGACATATCGTTGTACAACTCTTCGCCCTTTTTGATTATTTCGATTAATTTACAGCTTATTTTTAGTAGATTATCAATTTACTTTTTTTACTCTTTAGAAAATATCAGCCTTCTGTGAAGCAAAGGATGTACGGATTCCGAGGTTTAATTCGTTGTAACGAACATCTGGGCGCTTTAATTCGACGTGCCTCGTCAAACATGAGTTTTTAAACGATCTAGCCATCCGCATAATGGGGGTTGACAAAACTATCAGACAGTAGAAAATGGCCGAGCTGAGCGACTCGGCGCAGCGGCCGCTAATTTCTCACTTCCTCATTAAATCCTCACCGGGTATTATGCCCCCAGCTGGGCCCTTCCTCCACATACGCGGCTCCCCGTAGATCGTAGATCTTCGTCCTACCGCGAACGAGCATTTATCTGTCCTCTCCTCGTTTTACTTTAACCCCATTTACTGCTCTCAGTCTAGCTCTAGTAATCGTAGACGAGTAGAGAGGAAAAAAGGTAACGGCGCCTCGGATCGTCTTCTTTAAGTAATGTCTTTATAATGAGCTGCTGATTTACATGAAACCGATTATCGATGTCAAATTTTTTAGTAGATACTGGTAAAAGATCCTCCTGTTTTGCTTTGATTATCTGTGATAATTTTTATATCTGCTTATATTTTATATATTATTATATTATTTATTAAAATAAGACGTTGTAATATAAATTGTTATGTATTCTTGAAAATAGGTAAATATTATGTGGCACATAACATTTAAAACAATACGTAAAAATAACGTCAACATGAGCAAAATTCGAGATGTTGTAATATGTCAAGTAATTTATTAGGCTGACAAATTTTATTAATAAAGATAAAAAGACTTTCATGTTCCGTTTTAATATTTTAATTGTGTAAAATCTTTATGAATATTATTACTAGTGAAGAAGATTCTGTGTAAACAAAACGTACAGTACTTCATTTTTATTAATAAAATTTGTTATATTGATAAATGATAAATTATTATATTTGTTACATTATATATACAACATCTCGAATTTTGCTCGCTGTTATTTCAACATATACGTACAGTTTTGTATTTGTTTAAATATCACTTTTAAATGCCAATATCTGTATAGTTTAATAAATAATAGGTTTTTTATAATAACGGTGATGTTTATAGAAAAATTCCGCCAAATAATATACTAAATCTCTTTCTTTCATTCATTAGTTTGTAGTAGTTGAGGTTGTAGTAGTTAGCATCTGGCAATCTTTACACTCGTGGCAGTAATTTTCAAGTCAAAGTGGCTTCTGGCAGTGACCACTTTCAAGCAGAGACATTTGTATGGATACATCGCTGTCAGTGGTCCTCCACTTTACTACATTGTCAGACAAACACACTCGATCGTCTGGTTTCTCGGCGCATGATACACGGAAATAAGTGTTTATTGTTTATTCGTGGTTAACGTTTTTCTCCAAGTATTCATAAAGAAAATGCTATGTAAAGCGTATCATAAGAAAAACATTTAAGATTTAAATATCTTATACATTTAATTTTAACATGCAACTAGTTTATTTAATTCATTTTGATACCTTTGTTTTTCTTGTTTGTTACAAAAAGCGTTGAATATATTTTATCTCGAATAACGAGTGCAATTTATTAATAATAAACTCTTCGTAAAGATCGGAAGTAGTCATCGACGGATATTTCCGGAGGCGAGGGGATGCAAGGCTACATTAATATCCGAGAGCCAACCAAAAAAAAAAATGAGAGGGCGTCGAACAAAAGAAATTCCAACGGTATTAATTCGTCGTTATCGACCTGTGAAATTACCGGAAGAAACGTAAAGTCAATCCGCTGATCATGGAGTGAACGTTGAATGAGATTGACAAACACGCAGTATACTCCATATCGATTAATTAGATAAATCAATTACGTAGGTAGATTTCTAAAAATAAATTAGCAGTAAATATTTTACTTCTTCTTTTTTGTATATATAAAAAACAAGACAGAATTTAATTATTGCTCTGTTAAAATTTAAAAAAATCTAAAGTAACTGATGCAATTCAGGCGCGAGTCGAAAGATCAAAAATCGAGTGGAGTTAAAAAATTCAAAATCGTTTATCTCAGCCAAAAGAACGCGATAATTTAGCTAAAGACTAAAAAGTGGGTCGCGTCGAAGCGCGTAAATGTCTAGGATCGCGAAGTGTCTTCCTCCACCTACGTTGCCCCAATCCGTTACTCGTACGCGTTACTGGCGACTTACGAACCGTGAAACGAGCTGAGGGAGGAAATCGTTTTAAGCGCAATTCGCGTGGTAATTCGTTTTCCAGGCCCCGTTCCGCAACGCGTCCAACGAACGCAGAGTCGCGCGCGATATCCTGAGCGGCACGAACGAGTCCGCTCATTGATGTTTTTTTTTTTTTCGCAGACACGACAATTAGGCACGCCAGGATCTTTTTTGTTCTCTTTTTACGAGGTTAATTATCTCGCTCGTTCCCTGTCCTGGAGACACGCGTTACTGGATATCCTTCCGGTCTCCCGAAAATCTTTTCATTGGAATGTGTATTTTTGACGATTTTGAAATAATAAGCTAATGACAAGTGTTAAGAGAAAGTAATTTCTCTTAATTGTAATAATCCTTTTAACTTTTATAATCCTATGAAATGTAATTTTATGGAAACATTCTTTTCTTTATAACTTTTTATAACTTTATGTAGAAAGAATTCAAAGTTTTCTTTACAAAATAATTGTATTTTTGTCGAATGTTTGATATATATGTTATTGATTTAGATCTCCATCTTCTTCTCATAATCAAATAACTTTAAAAAATAGTTTAATTTATCTCTCTCTTTCCAAAGACAAAAGTAAATATTGACAAAGAATCATACTTATTTATTATTCCCGTCGTGCGACGGAAACTGGAAATGCAACAAGCGCGGCGACTCCAGTTACTCTCTCAATTTCCCCGTTTTTCTCATTCGCACTTCCGTTTCGGATAGAAAGGAACTGAGAGAGAAATGGGGGGGGAGGGGGAGAGAGAGAGAGAGAGAGAGAGAGAGACGGGCGAAGCGCGAGAGAGTGAATCCGGAGTCGCACGGTAATTTGGCGACATCCGCCATCGGTCGCACTTGTACGCGATCCAATTTAAAAGCACGAAGCCGTACCAGAGAGCAAGAGAGAGAGACTGAGCCATTCTTTCATTCGTACGCAATGCGCTTCGTACGTACGCACGTTGCGTCCCATTCATCGACCGCGCGTTGTTTTTTATTTGCCATTCACCATCTCCGCTGCCGCCGCGAGTTAGGAGTGGCGGGGCCCCCTGGGACACCAGCGGAAGTACTTTCATTGTAAACGAGGGACCGCCGCGTCCCTTCGTTTTCGTCTGCGACGTCCGCACTGGTCATTTGCGTATATCGCACTATCCCGCCAGGATTGCCCGATTATTGCCCCGAACTTTGTTACATCGCATGCGATTAAGTTTTATTGAGGAAAGGACAAGACGACCAACCCTTTTAACCCTTAGTACACACGATTGGATCATCCATGCGGTACACGATTCTTTTCTTCGAAAAACTAGAAGCATCGAGTATTTATGTATAAGTTTCTTAAATACACAAATACTTTTTAAAGATATTTAAAAAAATCGCTTGATAAGTTTTGTATTCGTTAAAGTGATGAAAATGAAAAATTTGTGTGTAGTAAAAAAACCTGTTGAAAATCATCGTATGTACTAATGCTTAAAGAAGCCCAAGAGAAGAAAAGCGTATCTTCCTGATATCATTCACTTAAGTTTACTTAATAATTCGATCGGATACACTCAGTATGTACTGTAAATTAAAGCCGCCGTACACAAATTGACATAAAAATGTGTGTTTAATGTAAATATAAAAATGAATTAAATCATAAAACCCTCGATACATTTTATTGTGCTGTCAAGTGAAATCTGTTATGTTATGATCCGAAATATTTACACTTTTACAGAGATTAAATCGGTGTACAACAATTTTAATATGCACTAGTGCGTCCAATCGAATTCGCTATTAATTATTCCCTTTGTTATATAAATTATGAAGTAATACGAGATATACATCCCAAATAGCACACAGCGCTCACAAAGCGTTAATAAAGTGCTAAAAAAGTGCATATAATCGCTTTTTTAGCGCTTTGCAAGCGCCGTTGTGCTGCTTGGAATATGATATTACTATCCATTAACACATAATAATCCCCAGCGGACGGACAAATGGGAAGAAAATTCGTACAACAATTCCAAAGGGAATTACTTCCCACATCCTGCAGAGATTTGATGCAAATTAATAATTAGATGCGGAACTTCTTACCTGATCGATCTTGCATCTCACGCCGCATCCTACCTCTGAACTCAGGTCGTCCGTTCGATTCTAGAATAAAAAATACATCTCATCTTAAACCAAGTGTCTCACTTAACAAAACTTATCTTAACTTATCCCCAGAATAAAATGAAAATTAATAATAAGTTAAACTGTGTCATATATAATTTATATGGAACTATTATCAAGTAACAAGATCCAGTCTCGACTGTATTTGGAGCGCGCTTCTTATTTATTTACATTATACAAATATAGATCGCTTCGACACGTTAGATCGTTGATTTTCAAGCTATCACGTTGACACCTACATCGATCGTTGTGATACGCGATTATGGCGAATACAGGGGGACCATGGAGTGAACGCAAAAAAAAAAAAAAAAAGAGAGATGTTGAACATAATGACGTGAGCGCGATTATGTTACGCGCAGGGGCGGTGGAAAATAAATTGAATCGCTTGCCGTCTTTAAAAGATGTTAAACTGTTCCATCCGGTTCAATTGACACCCCCAGTGCGTGTATTTGATGCGACACGCTGAAATGAATCGCCGAATATAATCGTCCCCAAGGTGCTCGGAGCCATCTCCTCCCGCTCGCCAACGCCACAGATAACGCGAGCTCGTTACAGCGGCTGCACCTGTAGTACGTTACGCATTTCCGGGACACAGGTGCACGTCCGGCAGTCGATGGAACTGAGAGTAATTGGAAAAGACCGGTCGCGTCGAGATCGGCGAAGGGAGAGTTGAACGCAAATAGAGAAGGGTGCGAAGTGAACCGTGGTCGCTGGTTACCACCATGGGAATTTTGGAC